TTACCGTATGCTCTGAAAAGGGGCCAGAGGCTTAAGAAGAAAAGTGATATTTCCTGTCTGCTGATTTTTGTTCTCGTACAGCACAGGAAACCACAGAGGTGTAGTGGGCATGGAGACTTAAACATGTCTTTAAAAAAAAAAAATGTAACAGTTGTCACTTTTGTCACAGTAACAGTTTAGAGAGCCCTACAGAGCCAAATATACTCATCATTTGACAGGTTTAAAACAGGTCAGATTGTGGAGAAAAAGTTTGTTGTGCGGTCATACACACTGCCACAGTTCTTCCATCCCACCTTTCAAAATGGGTGAGAACGTGGTAATGTGGTGGTGGGCATATTCTTCTCATCATGTATATCGAGGAAGTGAGGGGTTTTTGAATTATCAATGTGGCAATGTTCTTGTTTGTTTCTATGATTGTATTTTAAGTTTTTCTGAAACTGCATTTCCCTACAAAAACATTCAGCTGTCATAAAAAAAAGAAGCATAACATACTTAATAACCAAACCCATTTCCTATAAATATAAACAGCAGTTTTCCCTTAGCCTCAGCAATTCCCTCTCTTTCCACTTCTCTATTTTTTAAAAGTCAGGGGTCTTGCTGTTGCACACAACCTCTTTAACCTTGCGGTACAGCTTTTGTCATGTGCCTAACTACTAAAAACAAACAAACATTATTCTTTGAGCAGCAAAAAAACAGTGTTGTTTCTGCAGGATATTACCTTGACAATACTGTTGCGTAAGAGTAACAATTACATGAGAGTCTTGTTATAAAAGTAGTGCAGTGTCATGAAAATTACTTATCGTCTTCGTATTTTCAGTTCCTTAAATGAAACAAGACTATGGCATCAACACCTGCTGCACTATTATTTTGTTTTGCATCACAGAACAACCCATATGGACATGATATTTTTATGGAAAAAAATAATATATATAATTACTCATTTCCTATTCATATTGTATAATTCTTTTATTTGCTGTCAAACAGTCCAAAAAGATAAATTTTTTATCAAAGTCAAGTTTGTGAATGAGATTTAAAATAAAAAAGAGCTAAATTTACCCTGAGTTACACAAACAATAAGTTACTTTTTAGTTTTAGTTTCTTTTCTGATTCTTAATCTAACAACCTCCAGAGAGATTTACTTTTCAGTGACTGACACACATGCAGTGTGTAAAGTACCGACAAGTACCGACTCACCAGTGCCACAATCCAGAATGTCATCAGTATAGCCTTCAGTTTACTAGCACATTCTTTTTAACCTCTAAAGTAACATCATGTTTGCAAGTGTACCCTTATTTGAAATGCTATTAATGTTTTTTTTATTATTATTCATTTTATGTATAGGCAATACTACCACATTATACTTAGTATTTTAACACAGAAACAAACATTTTAAAGGGGTAGCCTACATTTTGATATTCATAATTTGTTGCTGCAAAGTTTCAGCTGCAGAATTAGGTCAGATTTCCTCTGACTGCAGGTTTAATTACTCGGATGTTGCTACTGCTAAAGAGGTTAGTGGTAGCAAACACCATGTGAATCCTGTTCTGCTGTGTCGTCATGTATACTTGGTCACCACTTAATGGGTACACTGGCTTGATAATACAGATGGCCAGAAAGCTGTCATATTTTCTGGCCATCTGCCAGAAAAATCGGTACATGCTTGTGAACTTATAAATCATGTCTCACCTGACCCTCTTTCTAAAGGGAAAGTTCACGCAAAACTTGATATTATGTCATCATTTACTTGTCGGTCCAACCCTGTATAACTTTCTTTTTTCTGTCACTAAAATAAGATATTTTAAGAAATGTTTTAGTGATTTTTTTGTACCACGCAGTTTCCTCAGAAGAGGCAAGCAAGGCAGTGCCTCTTCAAAAAATTGAATGAGAAAATAATCCACAGTACAAAAATAAAACAATAAATAGCCTATTTCAAAATGTAATAATAAAAAGTGTATAAATCACACTTTTTTCTCACAATTTTTCTAAAGTGACACTGTCCAAAAGTGACACCAGCAGTTAAGGTTATAGCGTGAGGCAGCGTCTCGCTGGCCTCCTGTGAGACCAATTAAGTTTTAAAGCATCCTGTGGGTTTGGCGGGGGGTTATGAATGGGCAAAAGTCGCGCTATGGTTGTCTATTCACGCAATAAATCCCACCTCTTGTTTCTGTGTGCGGGTTCCACGTCTGCAAATCAGTCTGAATGAACAATTAATAGTGAATAATTTTTAAAAGTATTTAAACAACTCACCCACTTGGATATTTTTACTTGATGTCAAGTCAAAATCACTTTAAGTTACTAACACATTTTTTTTAGTAAGCAATCAGCTTGGTAAAACTCTCAGTAAAAATGTCTGAGATCATCATGATACTTGCACCGCTTACCGATCCCTGAAGTTATTAAAAAGAACATCTGAAAATCAGTTCACAAATAAAATATACATCAAATATTAAATGTGTCATTTAAACTTGATGAGAAATATACTTGGTTTTAATAAATAAATTAAAACATTACATCGTGTAAAAATAATTGTTGTTTATTTATTTAACCTGTGAAAGATGTTAACAGTAAGCGTAACTGCAACATGAATTTACATTGAATTAATATATATATATAAAGCTGTGAGGCCTCCTCATTTCAAAACACCACTGAATGCCACTGTTTTGTAGGGGAAAGTGGGGCAAGAATAGAAGTGAAATGTTATTACTTGCCCAATTGGTGGGGCATGTTGTAACATGACCATATAACAGCTTAAAATGTTATATGATTTATTTGTTCAATGAAATACAATAATAAACATTTGCCATAAAATAATGGCTTTTAAAAAAAATAAAAAATAAACAAAATTTGGAGTTTGACAATGAACACTGCAAAGCACAGCTATAGCGCATAGTTCAAAAACAATGTGGGCAAATAGATGAAGAAACACATTCAGACGTTCAGATTAACACGCAGCTGAACACAACACCCCTGCCTTCCTTTACACACAGCTCTCACAGAACAGGACACAAAGAGACCAGTACAATGTTGTAAAGTCCAAGTAAGCTTTACAGATATATTTATTGGAAAGGGTTTAAAAAAATGTCTTTTTGTGATGGTTCAGTGAACCACAAACGGTTGTTGCACATGCACCTGTGGAACAGTCCTTATGACACTAGCAGTTTACAGGCGATAGACAATTAAGGTTTAATAGGACATTACTGACTCTGAAAAACACCAGGAGAAAGATGCCCAGAGTCCCTGATCACCTGCCATAGTCCTGCTGAAAGGAAGGCACGGGGACTGCAGAGGTGAACAGAACAATAAACTGCAATGTCCGTAATGTACGTGCGCTACAGGGAGACAGGAAGGACAGCTGCTCGTCCTTGCAGTTCTAAACCACGTGTAACCCTATTTGTGCGAGTGGAGTAACATCTCACAGCAAGAACTGGCAAACCTGGCGCTGTCCATGAAGATGAGATGCACTGTAACACTTAAAGCTGGTGGACACACCCTTATAATGACTGCTATACTTTTGACATTGACACCTTTGTTCAGGGAGGGACTCGTTAGTTTATTTCTGTTTATGTAATTTGTTCAGTTTATGTATCAGTTGTTGAATTATATTCATATAAATATTTACACATGTTAAATTTGCTTAAAAAAGCAGTTGAAAGTGAAAGGACTTTTTTTGTTGTTGCTGAGTTTATGTGTGAATGACATCGCTAACATCCTAGAATAGCAAAGGAGACAGTGTATGTTTAGTATTTTAAAACGGCTTTGAATTCAGCTCAGCCAATCATAATCAAAGACCTCAATTTGAACCTTTTTTATGGACGACAGAATTTCTATTCTTTAAACAATTTAAAAGTGATGGAAGTCCTATGAAACAATTTGACTAGGGCACTATAGTAAGGTTTAAAATTGGTTTCAAAAGTGACATTTCCTTATAAGAGTGTGTTGCCCTGTTTATACCAGCGAGAAGTTTTTGGTTGGTGTGGGTTGGTATTTCAAGGTCTGAGGCTGTTTATATGGCAAGCAAGTATGGCAAAAATTGACACGTGGTACCTCATAACCCAATGTGCAACTTCAACAGTATTTGACATATAGGTCTACTGTCTGTTTAAGAATTGAATATTTAGTCAAGATTACCAGTCTTTATCTTTAGCTATCACCACCCTCTAAAGCTATGCTCATCGTCTCCCGGTTCCCTTTTCTTCTGCTTAAAAGAAATCTGCCAGATTTCTCTTCTCCATTCTCCTTCAAACATTTTCATTTGTAGCTTTCACTTGGCCTTCAATAGTGACAAGTACAACCTGACACAATAGCGAAATCTCTGCACATAAGGTAGAAAACCAAAACCAGACAACAAAAGTACAAATTAATACGTGAGCAGCGATATGTGCAAGTGAGAATGGCAAGAAACGAAGAACAGGACGTGGTGTAAAGGTGTGAAAAAAACATCCCGTTGCATGTGCATCTGTGACATAAGGATGAAACAAGTAGACGGAACATCTAATTTGCAACAAGTTTGCTTTGCAACAATTACTTTAACAAAATCAGCTTCATACTGATGGAAAACAAACACAAAAAATATCTGTAATATGAAAACAGATAACTGGTAATAAAATAACAAAGTTGGCTTGATTGGATTGTTTTCTGATTGAAAAGTTGAAAAAGCTTAAAATTTGCAAATACACAAGACTGAAATATTATCAATTAGCATACAGAACAACAATTACAATTTCTCTGTAGTTGTCAAGTTTTTTTTTTGCTAGACAAGATCATCTTTAAGAATGATGAACAATAACTAATGAACATGTCAAATCTTTGTTTGCCAACTTGTAACATGCATCCTATTTCTGCATTTCCCTGAGCAAAACATTCATTGAGAAAGCAAAATGAACATTTGAAATAGAATTGTGAATGAGTGACAACTGATCGTTATCATATTTCCTCTTTTAAACCCTGGTGCTCCCTGCCACTGTCTCCTCCTCCTCTCTCTCTTCAGTGCATCTGTATGTCGTGACCTTTAGGTCTATTAATGAGTAACTCTCAGAGTGTCAATCATTTCAGCGCCTCTCAACTACTGTGAGATCCTTCACTTACACGGGTACGTTTTCTTCCTTCCAAATAACCATAGATCGATAATGCTCACATTGTTGCTGAAGTTAATGTTTATTGTTGTATTAATTTTACATTTGAAGATTATCAGTGATCATCTCATTTTATTTCATTATTATTGGATTTATTTCTTGCCATAATATTGAGTACATTTTGCTTCCCTTGTCTTGATATGCACTACGAAAGAGTATCGAAGGAGCTTCACTTCCAATTACGATGAATGATTTTAAGACTTACATTTGTAAAAGTTAAATGTATATTTCCAGCACAAACAGACTGACGTTATTGTGACTGCAGGATGATAAAAAAGGGAAAATACCAGGGGGTGACAAATATCCCCTCCGGAGATTTCAGGTTTCAATTACCGACATTCAGAACATTATTGTAAATAACATGGTTTCGCATAAAGTGTAGAGATCAGAAGACTATACTATACACTCTTAAAAATAAAGGTTATAAAAGGGGGTTTTTGCAAACATTTGGGGGTCCCCAAAAACCGTTCATTGAACAGTTCTTAAGAGCCTTTTTTTTTTCTTAGTGTGAAGAACATTTTAATAGCCTAATCTAAAGAAACTTTTTCCACTAAGAACTTTTTGGGGAAGGCAAGAGTTAAAGGTGGATAAAGAACATTTATTTTTAAGAGTGTATATCCAAACTACCCACAGTCTCATTTTCAAAGAAATGGTGTTTTACCAGGAATGCGCACGCAGGGAGGTGTTAGACCAGTTCGTCAGAAACACACCTGAAGGTCATAGTTGATTCAGCTTAGTCTCATCAATGATGAAAATCTGAATTGCATTATGACTGATAGACATCAGTGATGAATGCTTTGTGGCCACAGTGTGGTTTTTCATTTTCTCTTATCTGTTCAATCGAGTGATTCACAGAATATGAAAACACTTGATTTGAAAAACAACACGGTGTACCAGCCGCTGTAAATTCACTTATAAAATCCTGGATTTGGCAGTGCAGGAATAGAAATTAATATGAAAAGACTATGAATTAAGCCTATCAATATACAACAATCGGTTACATCTTATTTCAAGTAGAAAAATTCCTTCAGAGGATTACAGGAGAAGATATTTTTATGAATGTTTAAATTGTTTTGTCCATACAATAAAGGTCAATGGGTCCAAAAATCATTTGACCCTACTTTCATTTCATGGACAAATCAAACAAACGAACAAAAACCCAATATCTTCTTTTGTGTCCCAAAGAAGCAAAAAAGTCATAAAGGTTTGGAGCGACATGAGGGTGAGTAAACAATGACAGAATTATTATTTTGGGGCGAAGGATTCCTTTAATTTGAGCTTTTTAAGGCTTTATGCCTGCCATCATGTCTCATCATTGCCCCCTTCTGGCCAAAGTACGTTACTTAAGAAAAAGTTACTTCTTCAGACGTAAACTATAAACTGGAATAAATGTAAGGCTAAATTGACATTTTACCCTCAGACTTTAAACCGCACGTTTAGACAAAATGCTGCCAAACACACAAAATAGCACATTCACTAGTTTAACGTCGCACACTTGAAACACTCATTAAATTAAATAAATAGATAGACTACTGTATTGAAAATAAATGATATAAATGTAGGCTATGTTTCTTTGCAGAAGATGAATTCTGACAAAAAGATCACCATGAGCATACAAGAATTTACTTTCTCTGATGATTACGACAACTACACAGGGATGTATGACGGGGACTGCTGTGGAGAAGGACTTGTGTGTGATCAGGACTCAAGCATGCACTTTGATTCCATTTTTATCCCGGTCCTTTACTCTCTGGCGCTGGTAGTGGGGCTGCTGGGAAACGGACTGGTTCTGGTTGTACTGTGGAAGAAAAGGCAGAGCTTGAATGTTACAGACATCTTCATCCTTCACCTGAGTTTAGCAGACACTCTGCTGCTGATGACGCTGCCCTTCTGGGCTGTAGAGGCAGTGAAGGGCTGGATCTTCGGCACAGCGCTCTGCAAACTGAACGGAGCTATATTCAAGGTGGGCAAAATATTTGTTGTTTATGTTGTGTTTTTAAATGTTTATTTTATGAAATGATTCGGTACACTGCTTCTCCATTTTATTGTTTTACGCTTACATTCAGTGATGAAACTGTATGAATGACAATAAATTCTAAAATAGACATTTTACTCTGTAACCGAAAAATTATAACATCTAAATTAACTCCTTTTTTATCAAGTCAAAAATATTATTTAATATTGCTGAATCAACATAATGCATTAAAGGGCCCCTATTATGGATTTTTGAAAATGACCTTTCATGTAGTGTGTAACGTGTGAATAAGTGAATGAAAACATCCTGCAAAGTTTTAAATCTGAAAGTGCACCGTATATTAAAGGGCAAGTTCGGTATTTTACACTTAAAGCCCTGTTTTAAGATAGTTTCTGATGAAATAGAACGGTTAAGATTGAAATTTGGACACATGCTGCTGGCCCGAGAATTCAAAAAACGTAACGTTAGTTTTGAGTTTTATATTGTGTAACTTAGGTCTCCTGCTAACTGGCTTACTCATGTTATCACTGTCTTACTGACATACCTAATCATTTGTGGGACACTATTACCTAAAACTGTGTCTATTAATGCTGATTGTCTGTCGTTCTTCTCACTAACGTTACTTTAAGGAAATATTTGTTTTACCAACGTTTATGTTAACTTAAGTTACATCAGATCATTCACTCTAGAGCTCGCTAATTGCAACAGTTAACTAACATAACTTACATGCACTGTTATTGATACAGTTTCCACGTGTTCACTGCAATATATTAGAAAAATACTAGGTAAATAAATTAGTACAACTAAAATAATCGGTTTGTTGATGAACATGCACTTGTCAATGCTGATGGTGAGGAATTGGTTACAGTTGCAATATCTTATAATGTACCTCAAACGGAGTACCGGCAGTGTATCACTGAGAAACGTCCTGCTCTACTCGTCCTTGCGATGGAGGTTCGGGTTGAGCAACGAGCTCTTCCAGTGTTTAATCATCGGACTCGCGCTCGCATTGATATGGTCAAATCGACGTGATTGTTCGTTACTGTGTAGGAAGCCTCAGTCAGGACACGCAGAGCTGACGTTGTTATGGCAATGGGCGTTTTTATTTTCGACGCACGCGCTGTACACGGTAGGCCAATCACAACAGACTGAGCTGTCTGGCCAATCAGAGCAGAGTAGCTCGCGGAAAGGAGGGATTTAGAGGGATTCATTCATTTGATGAGTCGTTTGAGATTCATTGAAAATGTGATGATGTCTGATGTGCAAATGTATATTATGAGGAAATTAAACAGTTTTTTTTTTATTTAATTTTTTTTTAACCTTTGATGCATGTAAACCTGTTGTAGGAGACTTCACAACAACATTAGGAAACTTTAAAATAGCATAATTGGGGCCCTTTAATTTATACTAATACAATTTACTTTTTATGGGTTAAAACAAGTAAAAAACAGCTCTTTAATGTAACAATTGCAGCTTACCTTTTACAGTAAAGTTGGAGATAAATTATACATTTACATATAATCATAGCAACTTACAAATGAGAGTAGAAGCAATCAAACCAACAAAAGGGCAACATGTAAGTGCTGTGACTGTGCTGTAAGTCCCAGTTAGCACAGTACACTTTTATTTTTAAATAAATAGAATATAATAGTAAGTGTTAGTATTAATGGTAGTATTAATGATCTACTCTTTTGACACTATAAAGAACCTTTTGTGCAATTTATTTTTATTATTTATTTATAGATTATTTATAGCTTATTTTTTCATATGTATTATTATTATTTGAGCTGCATAGCTGTTTAAATCATTTACATGGTAATAGTTGAAAAATTGTCTATAACTTTACACAGAAATCATATTTAAAATCATGTTAACATATTGTTTACATCTTGTGGCTATACTATTGAAAAAGTGAGCATTTTAAGAGATTTTACGGATCAGCCCCATTCACTTCCATTCTTTCTCAATGTAACCCAGATTATTGCTTTTTTATAAATATTATATATTACTTTAAGAATCAACTTTAGGTTTGCAGCCTCTCATTGTCACGTTTCTCCATTAGATCAATTTCTACTGTGGGATTTTCATGCTTTCCTGCATCAGTCTTGACCGCTTCCTGTCCATCGTCTATGCAGTGCAGATGTATTCTCGTAAAAAGCCAATGGTGACTCACTGTTGCTGCCTGATGGTCTGGGTCTTCTGCATTCTGCTCTCAATTCCTGACTGGAAATTCCTTACGGACTACGCGGACAGCAGACGTCAGGATAAAATAGAATGTGTTCCGTTTTACCCCTCTGATAATTGGCATCTGTACTCTCGTCTGCTGTACCATATTTTGGGTTTTGCTCTTCCAGCAATAATGATGTTGTTCTGTTACTCTTGCATCCTCCTGCGGCTGCGACGTGGCTCTCAGGGCATGCAGAAGAAGAGGGCCATCCGTGTCATCATAGCCCTCGTACTGGCCTTCTTCATCAGCTGGACACCCTTCAACATCACCCTCATCATTGACACCATAAAAAACAACCTAAAAAACAACCAAACCATCAGTTACCAAAAATCCTGTGACAGCACCACAGCATTGGATGTAGCTCTTACAGCAACTTCCACATTGAGCTACTTACACTGCTGTGTCAACCCAGTGCTTTATGCTTTTGTGGGGGTGAAATTTCGCCAGCAATTGCTGGACATACTGAGACCGCTGGGCTTCAGGCTGAAGGGTCCAGCAGGCCTGGTGTCGCGGAAAAGCTCTGTATGGTCAGAGTCAGTGGACACATCACACACGTCTGCTTTCTGAAAGATCAAACTATGTACAGTCAGTAACCATCTCCTCTTTTTCTGCAACCTGTAACATCTGTATCAGTATTATGTCAGAAGAGTTTGGCTTTAAGTACACAAGTGTTTCTGTTCACACCAAGAAGGGTATCTATTAATCATTCTAATTCTGAGAATAGGGAAGTCCATAAAGTCCAAAAAAACTATAACGATAAAGACACAGAGGAACTATATCATTGGAATCACTTACTTTCCTACTTTCCCAGCTGATGAATGATAAAACCATTAACAGACAATCAGAATCCACCCAACTTTAAAGATGAAGTATGTAAGATACATTCTCTTAACCCAGTTTATTGTTCATTGACTACTATTGTTATGCCATTCATGGGTTTATCTCCCATAAAAGGGTGAACATTGAGCCTCACAGGCACCATTAAAACATTGAGAGTGGTCCACTCAAATCCGTCAATCTCTTTCCATCTCAATGTATAGCGTGAGTTTGTGGCGTGGCTAGCTACTGAAACAGGAAAATACATTCAGCTTCAGAAGTGCAAGCCTTTTATTCAGACCTAATAAACAGGTCATGAAAGCGACAAAGCGAACTGGGCATTGCGATGCTACGCGCTACAATGGGATTTTCAGTATCATACAGCATCATCATGCACTCGTTCAGAAAGACAAATGTACCAATTTAAAATGTTGACTTTAATTTGTCCAGTGTAAACAGCCTCCAACGGTTTACATGTCAAAAATTAGCCCAGGGAATCCTGAAATCTCAAAAACTGTTAGCTGAACTTGCATTTAAATAACATTTTAAATCAGCAACAAAATCTGACATGAACTGTCTAATTGTTGATTCTTATGCTCAAATAGTGTTAAAAAAGCTTATTTTCAGGCTAGACCAGCCAATGTTTTTTATAGATTTTTTTATTTTAGATAAGAAAGTAGTAGGACAGACAGGAGGAGGGAATTGGACCAGGAGAGGGCCCGGAGTCGGGACTTAAACCTAGGTTTCCTAAAGTGTAACCGCACCATGTGTCGTAGCACTTGCCCACAGGAACCAGAGCTTTTAATGGCAGCTGCAGTGATGCAAGGACTTTACCAATCAGCGATCGGAATTTTTATTCAGAATGAGGGACTTATTCTGCCATATTGCACATTGGACTTTCTCCCATTCATAAGTAATATTAGGACACAATCTTTTTATATCTAAAATCTTTTGAGATACGTTGGATGGGTTTATTATAAGCAAGGTGCTTGGGTTTGCAGACAGAGTGTTAACCTCCTCATTTGCTTCCTCATGACACATAGCAACAAAGTATTTCTATATGTTTTATTGAAAGTAGCATACTTTTACTCGTTGAGACATGCTTTCACAAGACGTTTGAGTTGGGGCAGGCGCAACTCGTGAAAATATATTTTTGTAATTCTGCTAGGTGCCACTAGTGTCACAATAACTATACTTCACCTTTAAAGCAACACCAAGTAACTTTTCCTCTGCGGTCGCCCTACAGGTTGGAAGCGGAATTATCCATTTCAGCTGTCGTAAATAATTTAGCCTGCAGCCTACTGTCGCACTCACGCTCGTTGTTTATCCAGCACCGGCTTTGGAATGAACGATGTCCACAGACAAGGTATATGTTGCATGATTTCATGAAAGTATGATGTATTGCGAACGGCATCGGAAACAAAGAAAAACAAAATAATGACTATTGTAACGCTTGACGTAAAGCAAGTCAAATTTGTAGTTTTCTTATGTCTCATTAGAACTACAGAAACTCGACCTGATCTGGCAGTCTTACATAGCGTGGTTATAGCAGATATAGGACCGCAGAGCGGAGGCATAAGTGCCTTTCACCCTGTTACGACTTGATGAACCACTGAAACGATTTTGGAAACATTATTTTAAGGTAAAAAATCTTACTTAGTGTTGCTTTAAAGCAAGAGATGACAAAACTATTCAGAATGTTATCATTCATTGGTGTGGACGCTACTATTTATCTTTAAACTTGTCTTTATACGTTAGTTATCGTTCTTGGTGTGAATGGGTCTTTAGTCTCATGATTGTGCTGATTAGCTTGCATGAATATATAGAAATCTTTATTTCTTTTCTCACATGTGGCAGCTATTGTAGGTTATGTTTTACATTTCTCAAGCATACTTGATTTCTTGCAGCTCGCACATTTTGGAGAGAGATAAAACAAGTCGCTATTATGTCAAAATTGATCACTCTCTTAATACAGATTTGTCCAATGGATCATACTTTTGAAAAAGTGTGAACAGCTGAATTTTACTGTTATACATTTTGAAATTATTGTAAGTTATTGTAAAGTGTCTACAATTGTTCCAAATGTCTTATGTTTTTATTTTTTATGATGTTTTTAAATATCGATTTGCTGTAAATATTTAAAACATCTTGAAGGCCTACTTGTCATATGAAGCAGAACTGCAAATGTGTATTTTTTTGTGTACTGTCTTCTTATATTTTGAATATTAAAGGTTAACTTTTGTTGAACCTTTGTTTTTTCAGTTGTGTTAGCATAAAACTTGCAACTACAATGTGAGATGTCTGTCTCATTAATACTGTAAAACTGCAATACAATAAAATAGAAGGAAATTACATATACACAGTATATGACTTAATGCTATTATGCTTTTTCACTTCTTCAACTTTGGTTCCCTATAATATAATATATAATAGCCCTATGACAGAGCGGCGTAACTGCGCAAACCAATCGGTGCGAAGCCCGGCATGCTGAGCGCAGAGCCCGCCACAATCTGCATCTGCCTATAAAAGACGCTCGATTTTGCCATGGATTTATCTCCTTCAGCGACGATCTTCGGACCTTCGCTGAACTCCCTTCTACGAAGCCTTCACCTTCTTCGCCGAGACAAGTGGAGCCAGCAGCAGAACAGCGAGCGAGCCAGCGGACTGACTGATCCAGCGCGCTCAAATGCGCCGGCGATCAGCGAGCTGTTGTGCTGTTTCCCTGTGCTCTCCGGCAATCTTCGGTGTATCATTTCTCTTTTTACTTCTGTGTCTAAAAGAGTAGCGACGTTGTTTCAAATGTTGTGCCACGGCTGTGGCAAATGCAGAGCCCCTCTATGTCAAGCTGCTCTCTCTGCGAGAGTATGCCGCCCTCATCTCTCCGCTCTCGGATTGCGTTCTTTTCAGAGGGTCAGAGTCAGAGGGCTGAGTACACGGAAACTAGTGAGCTCACGCCGGCTCACACCCCGCGTGCCACACTGTCTCCGCATAGAGAGATCTCGCGGCTTCAAAGGCTGAGGAATGGATGGGCTCTGTAGAACACCCCGCCCTCTTGCCGTCTAAGCAGCGCAGCGACTCCAGGGCTCGAATTGACGCAGAGCTGATCCACGTCCTTTTCAGAGCAGTCGACAAGCTCGGTCTCGACTGAGCCTCGCCTGAGGAGCCCACATGCAGCCGCCTGAACGAAGAGTTCCTGATGAGGCACAAACAGGCTCCTCGCCAGAGAGCCGCACCATTCTTTACAGAAGTTCACGAGGAACTTACAAAGTCATGGCGCGCCCCCTACTCTGCCCGCCTGTGACTTTCCACCTTAGCAGCGCTCTCATGCATCGACGGCGTCGAGGAGAAGGGCAATGATAAACTGCCCCCCCTCCCCCCACGGAAGAAGCCGTGGGTGGGCAGAGATGCGCAGGATGGAAATCCAAAGTGGCTCATCCATCCAAGCCCTGCAGGACGACCTCAGCCCTTTGCAGGAAGGGCTTATGCATCCTCTGGCCACGCAGGCTCCACCCTCCACTCGATGGCGGTCCTCCAAGTTTTCCAGGCCAAAGTCCTCTGCTCCATGGATGAGTCTGGACCAGATCCACAGACCTGGCCCTGCACGCCACAAAAGCCACCGCACAGGCCATTGGCAGAGCCATGGCCAGCTTAGTGGTGCTGGAGCGCAACTTATGGCTTAACTTAACAGAGATCAAGGACGAGGACAGAACCGCCTTCCTAAATGCTCCCTTCTCCTCCACTGGTCTCTTCGGCCCCGCGGTGGACGGATTTGCTGAGTGCTACATGACGGCACAGAAGGCATCGCAGGCAATGTGACACTTCCTGCCGAAACGCTCCAGCTCTGCAGCCTCGAGTCGCCAAAAGTCCACGCCGACTCAGCAGCAAGCGAAACCAGCACCTGCAGCTGCTCAGCCTCTCCCAGCGCCTGAGCAACGGTCAGGCCAAATGCTTCCCACCTAATCGTCAGGGACCCCGGCCTAGGATTACGCTGGACCCCAAACCAAAGAAGCAGTCCTGATCTGCAAAGCAGGAAGAGGGAAGGGCTAAGTCTCGCTGAGCCCGGACCGTCTTTCAAAAAGCCCCGAGTGTTCCTCCAAATGCCCTGTTCATTTCTGGCCAATGGAGCAAATGTTGCAATTGCAAGCAGTTCAAGTTCACGCCGCACGACCGCCATTATAGCAAACACAATAAAAAACAAAAATTCTTGGCTTTCCCCTTTGAGGCAATTGGCCCTCATTCTCATTCTCATTCTCATTCTCATTCTCATTCTCATTTCCAATAGGAGGCGGAACTGAACTCTCACAGATATGTGCTCCTCAACCATTTAGAATGCCTAGGACTAATAAATACAGCCAAGAGCTCTCTGCTTCCCAGTCAGAGGATCTCCTTCCTGGGTGCACTTATAGACTTAGCCCAAATGAGGGCGTGGCTATTGAACGAACGCTCTCTGGCTATTCAGTGACTCGCAAGCTCATTCAGAGTGGGGACCAAGAGACCCCTCAGAACCTTCCAGAGGATGCTAGGCCTCATGGTCTCTACATCATCAGTACCTCCGCTGGGTATTAGGGGTGGAACGGTACATGTATTCGTTTCGTATTGAACCGAAACGGTACGGGCGTCACGGTTCGGTGCACGAATTTACACGGAGAATACACGGTATAAAAATAAATAAAACTCGCGTGCAAATTAATTAATGTAATTGGGAACTACTGTTAGATACGCGGGTTCTTTAGGGACACATAATCTGTACCCCTGGCTTTGCTCTGAACGCGCGTTCACCTCAAACGTTGGCTTTTATACGCGCGTCCTATTCGCTTTGGTCTAGCGTCGAACTAGACTTGAATTTGACGCTCTTTTCGCGTTTGGTGTGACCGCATATTGAACAGGCTGCGATGTCAAGATTGCAATGCT